CTTTATGTGTGTTATTACATTTTCTAAGGATTAACAGTTTAAACTTGTGCTATACGAAGCACTGTGCCATAGCTATGAAAGGTACAAAGACCAGGTATTCCCAGCATTCAAAAGAACAAATCTAGAGGGAACAATACACAGAAACACCTAACCATAATACTCAGCAAAATGAGGTAAACACTATATAATAAAGGTAAAAGTAAAGTGTAATGGAAACCCAGAAAAAGGTGCAATGGATCCCCTATGGGAAAACTAAGTTCAAACATTCAGTTTCTCTAATCTAGTTTTTAGTGACTGCCAGGACTAGCAGGGCCCAAACAAGAACCAATCTGCTTCCTTGCATCAGCAGATGGGTTACACCTTAATCACCAAAAAGAGTCATGGAGACTTCTTGTTTTCTATATCCCTTCACTACAAGAACTCTATATTGAGTTGAGTTGACCAGGTTGCATGGGGAAGCTGCTATTTATAGATAATGATAGTTCTCTGATAGCTCTACCACCAACAAAGATACAATGACCATTTCATATCTATCACAAAGCGCTGCCCACAGCCTCCTTGTATCTTGCTTTTCTCATCTCCAGAAATAAAAGAAAAATGAAATTATTACAAAGCAGTTCCTACATGAAGTTGCTAAAAGAACACAATCATAAATGAACTATAAGATCTGAACTAAATGCAATACTGGCCTATTTCTACATTCTTCTCTATGATTACTCCATATATACATCAAAGAAATATTTACTGAGTACCTACTATGTTCTAGAAGCTGTCAATATAGCAGTGAAATAGACAGGCACAGTCTCTATACGTATGGACTTTACAATCCAAAAGGATAAATTTTCAAGATAATTCATTGTTCCTAAAATCATGAGTACACTCAAAATTTAGCCCAAGTAAACTAACCTGAATCTTCAATCTAAATGTCTTGCCTTCTCTGATAGTTGCTCCCCATCCCCTGTGTGGATTGTAGAATATACTAGACAAAAGCGAATAAAAATTTATCTTCTAATAACCTCCTAATTGCATTGAGATAAGCAGATTTGTATCTATATGTCTCCAGTTTATGATATTATATACAAAGGTAAAAAAATTCCAAATCACATAGATTTTAAATAGGTCAAGATGACCATATTGAGAGAAAAGCCAGTTAGGGTACATTAGGCATCTTTTCAATCCCTTGACAAAGTAGTTCTTGCATTGGGTGAGCAATGCAGTGCTGA